AAGATGGCTCATTTTGTACCATGTACAAAATCTATCACATGTGAAGAAACAACTAAACTCTTTTTTGACAATATTTATCGCTATCATGGATTATTCAAGGATATTATATCAGATAGGGGAACTCAATTTGTATCAAGGTTTTGGCGGACTCTTTTCAAGATTCTTAAAGTGGATATAAAACTATCTTCGACATTCCATCCTCAAACTGATAGACAAACAGAGCGTGTTAATCAAGTTTTGGAGCAATATTTAAGATGTACCATTAATTACCAACAAGATGATTGGACAACTCTTTTGCCATTGGTAGAGTTTGCTTACAATAACACGGTACACTCTTCTACAAAACAAACACCTTTCTTTGCTAATTATGGTTATCATCCACGACTTGATACTTTTGACTTTTCAAAAGTTGATAATCCTGCTGCAAAAGATTTAGCAATTCATTTATCAGAGCTACATGCAACGATAAAGGCGCAGTTAAAAGAGGCTCAAGAACAACAAAAGGTCAATGCGGATGTCTATCGAAAGGAACAACCATCATTCATCTTGGGTGATAAGGTATGGCTACTTCATCGCAATATGAAGACCGCTCGTCCTTGTGACAAGTTGGACTATCGAAGGCTAGGATCATTTTCTATTTCTGTACAAATCAATCCACTTGCATATCGTTTACATCTACCAGAGTCAATGAAAATCCATCCAATATTCCACGTGTCTCTTCTTGAACCATACAAGACAGTGGACATACCAAGAAGACGACAAGCTCCACCTCCTCCTATAGAAGTGGACAATAATGAAGAGTTTGAAGTAGAAGAAGTCTTAGATTCAAGGCGACGCCAAAATAAATTAGAATATCTTGTCCATTGGCACGGATATGGTATTAGTGAACGCACATGGGAGCCAATAAAGAATCTTGCAAATGCAACAAAGGCGGTGGAAGCTTTTCATGGATGACATCCATCAAAATCAAGATGAAAACCTTCTTTATAAAAGAAACAACATCTACGCAAGATAACATTCTACTTTCAATTCTTGTTTGTAGCTTCTTTGTAGTTGTGACGCTCAGGAGGTGGAGAACCAACAACCAGTGGATTCGACTCAAGAGCCTTCATTTGTTGACCTACCGGATGAGACATTACGATTGTCACAACCTTCAAGACGACGCAATCGAGATGAAGATCTTCAAAAACGATATATTCTTCCTCGAATAGATGGCGAGATACAACGCGTTTGGTATCACGATTTGGGAAGGGACTCCCGATGTTTGGTGATTGTGCTAGAGGTAGGAACAACTCCTGACAGTGTTCCAAATATTTTATTCGAAGGAAGTTACGAAGGCCTCAACAATGATCAAATAACTGGGTGGTCTTCCCGCCTTAGTATGGGACACTATCGATGGTTGAGAGGCCCTATCAATCATCTTCAAAGAGAACAAAGATCAGAATATGTGGTGAATACGATTCGTCGCATCATAGATTTCCTCAACATATGATGACCGCTCCTCGTGGAACTCGTCTTTAGAAGGGAGGGTAATGTCACGGACATAACCATGTAAACTAGTAACTACATATACAAATAGGTAGAAGTAAGTAAAAATAGGTAAAAGTAAGTTAATTCTATAGTATTTAATATGAATGCTTCCTAAAAGCTTCATAGATGCTGCTTTGACTTCATAGGTGTCTTTAATTGACTTTTTGGATTAGAAACGTGGTCAACAAGTTGGCCATGTGCCACACATGTTGTTAGCTTGAAGATCAAGCTAACTATGTGGCCCACACATAGAAAAACTTGCCTTGTAAGTCAACACATATTGGAGGTCCTGTAGAACGTCGCCACATAGCCCCTAGTTAGATAGTATATATAGAGACAAGAGTGAAGGCTTCTTCACTCTTTTCAACTCCTTTCTTGCTTCTAGTCTAGTTTCAAGGGTCTCTAGTTTTCTTGTCTTTTGGCAATAGCCATTCTAGTTTCTCTTTCAATATACATACTTGTTTATTTATATTTTGTTACCTTTCTTTGAGTGAAGGCTCATTTGTTTGAATTGTTTTTTCATCGAGTTCTTGTCCTTGACACACTTCTAATTAATTTATTAAATTTGTTTAATGCAATGAAGAGCATTAATGCTATAAAGTGAGAGAAGGCGATAGAAAAAAAGTACAAATCACTCATGGACAATGAATCATAAGAATTGATTCAACTTCTACGAAATTAATCTTCAATTGGTTGTAAATAGGTCTTTAAAATCAAAAAAGATGCAATGAATAAAGTTATGAGATATAACGCAAGATTAGTTGCCAAAGGCTATTCACAAATTACAAGTGTTGATTTCAATGAGACATTTGCTCTTGTGATCAAATTTACTATCATTAGAACCATTATAGCAATTAAGGCAGCAATAGACTTTGAGATGCATCAAATGGGTGTAAAGTTAGCTTTCTTAAAAAAAAAGTTAAAAGAAGACATGTATATGAATCAATCTCAAGGATTTGTTGAAGAAGAAAAACAACACCTTATTTGTAAGTTAAAGAAATTTTTATATGGACTAAAACAATTATCAAGGACATGGTACCAATGTATTAATATATTCTTTGTGAATGAGGGATTTGTAACAAGTGAGGTTGATTATTCTTTATATGTGATACAATCAAATGAATTCATATTGATTGTCATCCTTTATATTAATGATTTAATTATATTGAGTAATACCATGAAGAAGATAGATTGGTTCAAAGCAAAGTTAGAAAAATAGTATGAGATGAGTGACTTAAGAGAGCTTTATTATTATTTAGAAGTGGGATTTATAAGAGGTTGTAGTAAGTAGACCATTACAATGAATCAAAGTAAGTACATTGAAAAGGCATTGAAACAATTCAATATAAAAGAGTACAAGCCCATTGAAATATCTTTGGAGGTCAATTTGAAGTTGATGAAGCTTATGGATGAGGAGTATGTTCAAATTGAAGAAGAAATGAAAGATGTTCCATATAAAGCAACAATAGGCTCATTTATATATACAATAATTGGTACAAGATGGATCTTACATATGCGGTGAGTGTTGTGAGTCAACACACATCAAAGATTGGATTAATCTATTCAACAACCATCAAAAAAATTATGAAGTACTTATAAGGCAATTTGAACTTCAAATTATGTCTTTGAGGAGATAATATTGTATTAAATGATTATTGTGATGCGGATTGGATTGAAAATGCAAATGATAGAAGGTCAACAAGAAGATATGTATTTTTTCTTGAAGTAGGAGCAATCTCATGGAATTGTAAGAAATAATCAACAACTACAAAGTCAACAATGGAGGTTGAATACATGGCAACAAGTCATGGTACAATAGAGGTAATTTGGCTAAGACAAGTTTTAAAAAACATTGAACTTGTGCAATCGGAAGCAATTCCAATGAAGTATAATAACCGAGGTTGTCTTGCTTTTGTAAAGAATCCAAAACATCAGTTAAGAACCAAACACATTGTCATTTAACCTCACTACATAAGAGAGAAAATTAAAATGAGAGTGATTGATATAAAGTATTGTACAATGGAAGATATAACTATTGATTTGCTAAAAAAGAGCACTAATAAAGAATAGACATCAAAAATTAACCAAAGTATTAAGTTTAAAAGCCTTTGATCAATAATAAAGTAAGAATGTTAAAATAAAAATAAGATACTATTATCTTAGATAAGTTATTAAAGGTCAAAGAATAATAAAAGAGTGAAGGTAAGTTATTAATATGGTCGCTAGGTTTTTAAGTGGTGGCTATGTTAAGAAGAATTTAGGATTTATTTGGATGAAGCAAAGATGGATGAAGATGATCATAAATGAAGTTTAACTATAATAGATGTAAATTCCTTCTATAAGTAAAAGATATTGGAAGTGAAAGGTATCTTATTCCACACATCTTTTATGTATAACATTTTTTATTTCTACTTACTTGTATCTTGCTTGTTGTATTTTTTCAATAATACTTGAATCAATTTGGCATTTATTAATACTTATTGCTAGGTAGAAAAATATAGTTTTTGAAGAAAATAAAAAATAATTATTAAAAATATCAATTTATATTACAATATATTTTCAGATTGATTTAATATGATAAATCAAAATTGATATTTTTATAATAAAATATTCTTTATTTTTTTAAAATACATATAAAAAATAATAAATTTGATTATTCAATTTAGATATGCCATGGCTTATTTAAAACTTCCATTATTTTCTAAAGAATGTCTAAGCTTATTTTTAAGATAAGAAGTTTTTGCAATTTTTTATGTTTAAAACCAAAAACCTATAAGATGATTTTTTTTTCACTCTAATAATTAATTGTTATAATTTTAATCAATTATTATCTTTGATAATTCTATGTAGCATCAAATATGATAAACTACAAAATTTTCTTATTCCATTCAATCTTGAACATATCATTCATTGACTATTTGAGATACTTCCAAAAGCACCATATAATATTATACAAAATGGTTAAAACTTCCTTATATTTTTTTTCTAATTAAGTACAATAAATTAACTAACATAATTACATTACCATTGATTTTAGTATTGTAGTGTATATATATTTCTATCATGTTTTGTAATTTTTTCATTTTTTAGAACCATTCTAAACTAAGATTACTAGAATCAATTAATGTCTTCTAACATTTTAATCATAGGTTTAGAAGTGTTTAAATGTATAATGCAAAAGAGACTCCACACTCTTCCATTCATCATTTAATGCTTACAAATCTTGATCTAGTATTACAAACTTAATCCTCATGTCTTCTAACTATTTAGATATCTAGTTAAATTTGTATTCTTGTTGTTGAACAAACTAGTTCAAATACATACAATCCTATTGCTATATCAATTGGGCTTTAGATCAATTTTTTTAGAATCTACAATTACCCACAAAAGTGTGAAGAAAACTGCCACAAAGGCATCGTTAAATGCACAAAACAATACCTCTTTCGAATTGTTTGATTTTGGGTGTGGTGGAGAGATTTGGGTGAAGCCTCCAAAAACTTCCACTTTGCAATCACAGCCACATCAGAATATTAGGGTTTAGGGTTTAAGGCGCCAGGAAGCGTTGTACACACACGAATTAGGTTCGGGTTCGAAGGTTTCGGCGATGCTCGCAATTTCGTAGCGTTGTTGGTTCGATTGACAGACACGAATGGCCCGTTTGTAGTTGTGGGTGATCGTCGATTTTGCTCTTTGGTCGAAGAGTGTGGGGAGGATTGGAGGGTGTTGTTGCTGCTACCAAGTGTTGGGTATGGTGGGGAGATTGACAAGAAAACAAGGGACGAGGGGAGGTTGGTGAAGAGTTGGGAGATGGAAGCGGGGGAAGCTCGAGAGCTGTGGAAAGCCGCAGCGGAGGGGAATGTAGAGCGCGTGCAGAGCTTGTTGGAATCGGGCGCTGATATTTGCGAAGGGAATGACGAAGGCTTGACACCATTGATGATGGCTGCGCAGAATGGCCACGCCGAGGTTGTGCGTGCGCTCCTTCGAGCCGGAGCTCCTTGGAATGCGTTGAATCCCGCGGGCAAGTGCGCCGGTGACTTCGCCATGGAAGCCGGCCACCAGGAGGCATTCGATGTGCTCCTCGATGCCGGTAAGTTGAATTCTACTGGTAACCGGATTCGGTTGCAGACGTGGGGTGATTTTGGTAGCAGCACGAGGGATTGTTGGAATGGCACTCGGAAATGGGTACTGCGCATCTGAATTAGTTCTTGCAAGCTCAATAACCGATTCGGTTGGCGTGAAAAAAATTTGTGTTGAAGTGTAATCATCCTTTGAGGGGTGTGGTCTCAGGTATGCAGGCCGAGCTCATACTTGGCATTGTAGCGCGACAAACCAAAAGAGCGGAGGACGGGGAGAAGCCTTACTTGCAGCAGCGGGTGGAATACAGTGAAGGTAAGTTGACTGATGAGGAGAATAAGGGTGTGATGATGGCGTGGGAGAATCCCCTCATGGCAGCGCACGCAAAAGCCATCTGCGCTAACGGAGGACATGTTTTGAATGTGGGGTTCGGGATGGGCTTGGTGGACACGTCCATTCAGAGCCATAACCCAGCTTCACATACCATAATCGAGGCACACCCCGAGGTTTACAAGCGCATGTTGGAGACAGGGTGGGGTGAAAAACGAAATGTGCGAATATTATTTGGGCGTTGGCAAGACGTGCTTCCACAATTGGATTCTTATGATGGTGAGCCTTTTATTTATTATTTATGTGTATAGTTTGGTGAACTTTCCCGATTTCAGCGCAGGTGTAAAATGACGCTGGAGTAGTTGCTGAGTAGCTCTCCGTAGTAATTGTACGGTGAAGTTGATTTAGATGATTGATCAACTGTTGATCGCTGTCCCTACACTTGGCATGTGCATTTTTCTATTCTCTAGTTTCTTGCATGAATCCCGTCTCACCGTGCCAATGAAATGCAACGATGCAGGCATCTTTTTCGATACGTATGGGGAGTTTTATGACGACTTGAAGGAGTTTCATGAGCACTTGCCGAAGATCCTGAAGAAAGGTGGTATTTATTCGTATTTCAATGGATTGTGTGCGACAAATGCTTTTTTTCACGTGGTATATTGTCAGCTTGTAGCTTTGGAACTTGCACGGCTGGGTCTGACCACCCAGTTTATTCCATTGCCTGTGAAGGATTGCTTAGACGAAGAGACCTGGCTTGGTGTTTATCATAAGTACTGGCAGCTAGATACTTATTTCCTTCCTGTATGTCAAGCTGAGGAAGATGAAAACGAAGAGGATACAGTAAACGCATCTTGATGTAATCAGACTGGAGTCTTGATTGACTGATTCTCGTCTTGTGATTGATTACTCTTCCTCCTTATGCATACGCATTTATCCAGTTGCACAGCTCTTCAGGGTGCAATGCTGAGCGGATTGAGCAATTTGTCCCCCCGCTCCCCGACTGCGGTCTCTGCTGGTATATGTTTGAATTGAACGATTTGGACTATGGTTTCGCAATTGAGTTATTGATTCCAATCATTTCGCTTTTTATCAATGTGCCCATTCACTGTATCAATTGCCCAATAGGATTTCAATTGTAGAGGAACTTGACGAGGAACTTAATGTCCTCACCGAAGAAATCTGTAAATTTCGCTGCAACTACCAAGGTGTATGTCATGACGTCGTGAGCTGCCAGAAATACTGGGAGTAATGTACAACATGTTCAGATGAAAATCAGAGCTTACTTAGACACAGCATAAATGGGCAGCAGCATTATTGGAGCTGAAATGCAGTGATGTTGCAGATTTTTGGCCATGTGTTCTCCATGTCTCCTGAACCCGTCAGAGTGGTCTGGCCTCGGTTCTGCAATGCGGGACGAACGATCTCTTTGAGTTGGGCAGGTATGGTCTACCCTATACTGTACCACTGTTGTTGCAAGCATTCACGGCACTGATGATACTTTTGGGGTTCCTTTTTTGGTTGCGGCCAAGGTGATATACATCTTTTGCTAATTTCTCACTACCTGTTTTGAGAATTGTGTTTCTCTCTTGCATTTTGCGTAGAGACATTCCTTTAGTACGTAAGGTGGGTGCCTTATTCCACCCGCCCTCTGCTCACAATGAGTTGAATGGGACGCTCTTTGTACTAGTGCTAGAAAAGCTAAAAATTTGTGCGGGTTTTGGATGTCTCAAGTGTGTGGGTAATGGCATTTTATTTTACTAATTCTATTGCACGCATGGTGACTGTTATGGAACTGTTGCAACTATTATGGATTCAACAATGAAGCAAGTTTTTATCCTTACAACCAAAGACAGTTGACTTAGAAGAGAGGTTATATCACTACTCTAAGTTATGTTGTTATCTCATGTTTTGGAACTTTTTGATGCATCTAAGGGATGATTATTTATTCAAATCTACAATTACTAATATCAATAAATTATTGTACATTTATTTATTTTAAACGATAATTTTTATTTAGTTTTATTTAAGTTCTTCACTCATTTCTTAACCACCGTCGAATTTGTCACATATGCAATTCGGTCCGCAATGATCCTAAACTAGAGGATGAGGGCAAGTTGAACAGCGAGCTCAACCATAGCTCTGAACAGGTTGGCGGTTTGAACTCCATCTGGAAAATCTCAATCTTGATTGGCACAAATTTGCCCAGGATTAACCATTGCTGTTTAGAAAAATAAAATAAAAATAAAAATAAAACTATGGAATTGCTTGAAGTTCTATGCTGATGGAATCATTCAAATAACTCATAAGTTGATAATGTTGAACTAATTATATCAATTTAGGAAATATGGTCCTGATAGAGCACTTAGTAAACTTGTACCATGTATATTGTAAAACAAGTGTGACCTTGTGTAAATTATCCACAAGGAACACATGAATAATAAAAATGATTCTTGTATATCTTCTCTGAAATACGAGCCACCAGTAGTTGTAAAATCCTAATTTGTTTAATATTAAATATCTACAAGAAATTGTATAGGTTGTGATACAAGTGTTGGGTGAATGTGATGCAATGCCTGGGTCCTAAGTTCAATTTCTAACACAAAATAAGTGATTGTGATGCTTATACTATGCACCGTATGTGTGTATAGTTTTCTTTTCTTTTCCTTTTGAAATAAACTAACTCCACCCCAATTCATTATTTGTGGGCTATCCAAGTAGGTGGACAAACCAAATGATTTTGGATGTGCGTATACCAGTGAATGAAACAAGAATTGGTCCACAAATCATTAATCTCTGCTAATAACTCACTGGGTTTCATGTCTAACCCTAAAAAATCTGTGAAGGAATATCAAACAACGAAGAGTGGCTTAGGAGATGGGTTTATGTGAATTATTGAACAGGCCCAAAAACTTCTGTACCCAGTTGCTAAGCTGTAGGCTCCCTAACGATTTAGGTCTCCTACTGCTCAGTCAAGTACTATATTTTGCAAGATAAGGCTTCCTCCACAGAGTGATAAACAACATCTCATTTTTCCTGAAAAAAGAGGCTAAAATTGATGTGATGGACAAGGGTTCCCAAGTTCACAGCACATTATTCATGACCCATCTAAAATCAAGTATGTTCTGTCCCCATTCATATCACACAATACGCCTGACTCACGACTCAGTTTCAGTCGTCCTTCACAAAACACCCTCCTCTTATAAACTTTAATTGAAATGTCTAAAAAACCTAGAGGAAATCAGGTTCATTAATCCTCACGTTTACAACATATTAAAGGAAAATCAAACCATAAAGCTCAGGGTAAGTTGGAGACGTGACTAGCATTGTGAGCTCAACCTAGAAATCAACATCTATGCACAGAATAGGCAATGAATCAAGTTGTGTGTTATACATATATTCTCTGTGGAATCTATCAGAAGGGATTAGTCGCAATCTCTGTCCACTGTAGTAAACTGGCGTTGCCGACGCTTTTCTGACGGGTTTTTAGGGCGACTGAGCACCACTGTGATGTCAAGGTGGGGTCAGGATGCCTGGCAAACGCTAGGGATTGAGATTGCGAGCGGGCCCTATCATCCTCTGCAAACCTCGCCACACACTACTCCTCTGGTGTGGAGAGCCTCTCTTCTGTTAGATTGTCACCCACCTACTTGTGTCTTTCAATCTCAGAGCGACTAGTGTACAATCAAGTGCTGGCGAGAGTGGTGTGTCTTCCTCAGCATTCCTGCTTCTGTTGAAGCTTTTTGTTTCCATGGATGTTGCAGGATCTCGTCGTGTTCCATTTCATGTTTCTTGTGTATATGTTAAGAGAGTGGTTCTGTTGTTTGGTATTTGATCTTGGGAAGTATTTGTTATTAAATGCTCTGGCGAGTAAGGTAGCGCATGATATCTGTGGTTCTTCTCGTTCGCATCGTTTTGATATGTTTCATTGCGCCATCAATCGTTAGAATGTGAGTTCGTAGTTTCGATTGTTTTAGAGGGTTCTTTTCTTTCATAATTTTTTTTCTGTTACCTTACAGAGGTAGAGTAAGGTGAGTTTTAGCAGGCGCTTTCTACTTGGTTGAAGTGTTTGCGATTGGCATTCTTGTTTCTTTTAGTGTATGGAAATTGATGTGGGTGTAGATTTGAGGACTGGTTCTTCTGCGGAGCGTTTAAAGTAATTAATGCTCTGCGTATATGTTTCGTAGTTTGGGTATATATGGCTGTATAGTTGGTGGCTCTGATCTCGTGATTATCTTTGAATTTGGGGTGCGTAGGTTTGTTGTCGATCGCAATGTCTACCGAGGGGCAAGTTATCACATGCAAAGGTATGACTCGAACTCCTCATCTTGTTTCTGGTAACTTACGCTCATAGAGTTGCATGCTGCAATGCTTAGGCTCTGTATGGCGATTTCAAGCTTTGATACGTGTTTTCTTATTGCAAGCAAACTAGATAGATTGATGGATTATTAGCTCTTAAAATTGTTTGTGTTAGAGACATATCAGAGCTTCTTCGCTATTTAAAAAAATTCATGCATGCCGTTCATGTGGACGTTTTTTCCAATTTTTAGGCTTTCCTGTGAGAGCCCTGCATTATTCAGTTGGCAGCTTAATGACAATGATGACACGTTCCCGTTGCTTCTGTTAAATATAGCTGCTATTGCATGGGAGGCCAAGAAGCCTCTTTCGATTGAGGATGTTCAAGTGGCTCCCCCCCAAGCTGGAGAAGTGCGGATTAAGATAACGCACACTGCGCTCTGCCACACAGACGCATATACGCTGGATGGTCATGTGAGTTTTCTTAACCTTCTCCTTGCCCTGTGTGCACGCTCGTGGATATGCATAGGGTAGGTTAGGATCGGGCATTTGTCAACGATTTCAAAGGACATGGCAGACAGACAGGCTGAGAAGTTTTATTCTGAAAGGGTTTAACTATACTGGGAAGAGGAAAGTAAATAGTATGACAAAATACTCAGACTTAGCGATTGGAATTGAATAGTATAGGGTAGAAATTTTACATGGACACATCTTCTTTCAGATTCTATTCACTTAGACCCCCATGAACTTACTTGTGTTTCTCGGATAACAGGACCCAGAGGGTTTGTTTCCCTGCATCTTGGGGCACGAAGCAGCTGGGTAAGTTCTCTCCGTCTGAATTCCTCGGTAAATTAGTGAACATACTGCAGAGCTGATGGGTTTGTGTTGATAACACGAAGCACTTGTATACGAAGAAGCTGAAACTTTGGTGAAATTCTTATATCTCCTTCGAGAATTGTAACGCTAGTCATACGAGGGGTGTGTACTTAGAACCTAGTGATCGTTTGGACGATGGTTACAAATGTCTTTTTGTGGCAAGTAAATTTATGAACTTGGTTTCTGTAATTCAGAATTGTCGAGAGTGTTGGAGAGGGAGTAACTGAGGTCAAAGCTGGAGACCACGTGATTCCATGCTACCAGGCTGAATGTAAAGAGTGCAAGTTCTGCTTGTCTGGAAAGACGAACTTGTGTGGGAAAGTCAGGTCAGCAACCGGTGTGGGGCTCATGCTCAGTGACCGCAAGTCACGATTCTCCAAGGACGGAAAAGTGATTTATCATTTTATGGGAACGTCCACTTTCAGTGAGTATACAGTAGTACACGCCGTTTCAGTGGCAAAAGTCAACCCTGCAGCTCCTCTCGACAAAATCTGCCTGTTAGGATGCGGAATTCCCACAGGTACAGATTCTTTCGGGAAATGCTTGCAGAAGGAATTTAATGTACGCAAACACGATCTTTTGAGTCTCGCGTGCCCTTTCAAAAAGTAGTTTCTAAATCTCAAGTTTCTGCTGACAGGTTTGGGTGCTGTATGGAACACTGCCAAGGTGGAGAAAGGAGCTAATGTTGCTATTTTTGGTCTGGGGACTGTAGGCCTAGCTGTATGTGTTTATAACTCTCATTCTATTTTTAGCTTAAAATACTCACTCCGAAGTAACTTTCAATTAGCAGCGAAGTCTTAAATGTAGTGAATTTCATTGAACCTGAACTTATCTTTGAGCTTTGTCATTAGTTTGTTATGATGAGCTTTTTTTCCGCTCATGCCATTACGTGGTGGCTCACGCAATATTCTATTGTGTCTTGAGCTGTGCAGGTTGCAGAGGGTGCCAAAGCAGCAGGTGCAGCCCGTATAATTGGTGTGGACATAGACCCCAGCAAGTTTGACCGAGGTTCGAAATTTCTGAAAGCACCAAGTTTGATCGTATCCAGCTAGATCTTACGACACTGTTTTTGAAGCTGAAATCCACTTGGTTATCGAGGTAAGTTTTTCATTGTACTAGATCGTAAACTGGTCTCTGATCCCAGGTGTTATGTTGCTGCAGCCAAAGACTTTGGAGTGACGGAGACTCTCAACCCCAAGGACCACAAGAAACCTACTCAGGAGGTACATTTATGGGCACTTTGACTGCCACCTCGTTATTGCCTGTTTCCAGTTCTATCGTTTTTCGACAGTTACTTTTTGTATGCTCCATATGTGTTTTGGTTGTAATCATATGTGGATTTTTTTTCGTGAGAGATTGTTGTATTTTTCATTTCAACTTCCTGTGAAATATGTGGCTGAAGATTCTTTCTCACCTTTTCAGTAATGTGTATTGTGCATAGGTCATCGTCGAAATGACAGATGGAGGTGTGGATTACAGCTTTGACTGCACAGGCAATGTCCATGTCATGCGTTCTGCCTTAGAGTGTTGCCACAAGGTACTGTGTCATATACTCGTTTCCTGTCAATGCTTCCCATCAGAAAATCCAGATGACCGGACTTTTTGATTGATTATAAGCTTCCTGCAAGGAACAATCCTTGAAATCGGATGTTGAACTATTTGGTTGTGTATTGCAGGGATGGGGCACATCTGTTATCATTGGAGTGGCAGCTTCAGGGCAAGAAATCTCAACGCGTCCATTCCAGTTAGTTACAGGGCGTGTCTGGAAAGGCACTGCATTTGGAGGATTCAAGAGTCGCTCTCAAGTGCCAGAGCTTGTGGAGAAGTATTTGAAGAAGGTGCGTTTTCAAAATTCCTGTTACTAAACTTGGTTTGAGTTTAGGTCTACATGGGAAGTCTGCCTTATCACAGGCTGTTTTAGTCCCATTTTCTTTGAAGTTACAACATTATGAACAGAAGAAAAGTTAAATAATCTCCTTTACTGTACTTAAGCCCTGATCTTGTTTGGAATTCCTTACCTGTATGCTTCCAATACTACATACCAGATGCTCCGCAAGTACCAGTTAGCTTTGCTTATGTTAAGGGTGTCTAATTAACCGGTTAATATTTGTTGAGCAGGAGATCAAGGTGGACGAATATATCACCCACAACATGAAGCTTGATGACATAAACGAGGCCTTCGACCTTCTTCACAGCGGCAAATGCTTGCGATGTGTGCTCCAACTCTCCAGTCTATAACTTGGAGACGCTACAGATAAATAGCTGTACCAATTCTGGAGCATTTTGAACAATATTCGAAGATCTCAGCATAGTATCTGCGGAAGACCATAAACCTTTCTTCAACAACCTCTAAAGACTTTTAATTCGCGCGCAATTGTCTCATAACTCACAGGCATGCTCTTGGTATGAACCAGCTTATTCAAGAGAATTAAATAAACTCTCCACAGATGTTGTGAATGAATGTGTTTGTTTGTATGTGGATTTGAATAGATATGGCATCCATCCATTCCAGGGAACTCGTGGCGCAATGGAAGTGCGTTAAGTCTAGATCAGAAGCTTTAGTGTTTGGTTCAGATTTGGTTCAAGCACCTCTATTTGATCGTATTTTTTGACCGGAAGTTGCCCCCTGCGAACACCTAGATTAGAACAATTTCTTTAATTGGTACATTTTTTTGTTGCAAATTAAACAAACGCGTAAATAAAAACACCTCTCAATTACAATTTTATAGGTGGTAGGATTTCTAATAACAATGTAAAATAGTGTTAAGTTTGAAGGCTTGTATTTTACTAGATTAAATATTGTATTTTATTGATTAGGGATCTAATTGAAAAATGTTATTCTACAATATTAAATTAAACTTCAATTCAATGTATTGTGATTATATTTTGGAGAATATCAAATTGGTTCACCTAAATTAAAATTGACCTACGAATCCTTGAATCCCTTCTTATTTCTATAAATATTGCATATCACATATTAATACCCCACCAATAGGATGACATTTGAAATTGCTAAATAATATTTTGAATTAACAGACATGCCACTTAGGCTAGAAAACCTTCTATGCAAAGGAATCAAGGCTAGCTGGTGCAATTATAAACTGCAAAGTCACATGATGAGTCAATTCAATATTCTCTTATATTTTATATCTACAATATTGATCATCAATTACAATAAGTGTTCTTAATTACATATAATATGGACATTGATTATTTTATATGTTTTTCTATTTACTTTTAAAGAATTGATTTGAAAATTCAATTGTATTGTAATTGATTTTTTTATTTTTGTTTTTGTTTTTTTGCACTCATAAACCATAAAGATTCATCTTAAATAATGATTTATTTATTTATTTATTAGCTTTTAATTTAATTGCCATTAAAAATATTTTGCTAGTTTACTTTATAGAATAAATGTATTTTGATAAACATTATCAAAGTTGATTAAAAAATATAACATATTCTATAAATATACTACAAGAAAAATAAGTATTTTTAGTTTATAATGATTATAGAAAAAATATGTTATAAATTGTTTATAAGAAGAATCATTTAATTCTGAATATTTCTTATGATAAAATAATTATTCCTTGTTATAAAGGTAAAAAAAAACTTTAAGATGTAACATATTATCAATATAGAAAAAATTAATTATCAATTATTTTTAATAAGAATTTAATTTTAAAAAAAGTATACAATAAGTTATACATATCTATATCTATGTATAACTTAATAATCAAATATTAGGCATAACAATAATGTTTAAAGGAATTTTTTAAAATTATAACATCAAATCTTAAATATAAAATGTTCTTTAGTTTAAATTTTAATTATAAGATTTTTCTTAAGTATATTATAAAAAAAAGATGAATATGTCTTTCGAAAGTAGAAGACTTATAGTAATAAAGAAAATTGTATTGATAATAGTCAATTTAATATTAGAATATGTTACAAAATAAAAAGAACAAATCTCATTCAAGTTAATTTTTAGTTTTTTAATTTTTTTAAAGAATAATTTAAAAAAATAGGCTCAATTATATATATATATAAATAAAAAAATATATTACTCGAAATCTAACTTGCTGAAGTTGAGTTTAGTCATTTGGTTTTATGAAATCTCTAAATTATTAGATCATATGTTGTCATGGATTCTTTCACCCATCCACCTAGATTTTATAAACTATATAACTTAATCTACCATAGGATTTGTTACTCTCTTCCTTTAAAATAGAGTAAATCAAATTAGAACTTTAATAACTTAGCTATTGATAAAGTAAAATTCTAAAAACAAATAAGTCAAACTCTTTATATCTATAAACCTTAAAACTTATAGATTATTTTTTTATTATATTATAAATATTATATATATATATATATATATATATATATATATGTTTTTGTTTTTGTTGTGTGTTTGCTCTCAAGTTGTGATGGTTAGAAACACATCAGTGGATGATATAAATTGTCACAATGGCTTATTGAAGCATCTAGGGATCCATATAGTACCTTCAAATCAGTGTGGGACACTTTACAAAGATACAATAGCACTTGGTTTACATCAATCTCAATGGATCTAATGACTCTTTTATTCTTTAAGCAAAACAATCTATAATTATGTATGTAATTGGAGTTTGTGTGGGGCTTGGTAAAACTACTAGCACTCAAGGTGCAAATGTAGAGATGGCAAATCATCCAAATTAAGAGAGCCTTGAAGTCCCTTTGGTGGCTTTTTATATGCCTAAAATTTTCTTAATCACTCTTTAATGTCATACTTTTGCTGAGGTGCTACTATTAGTTACTGTAGTAGCTATAATTGGCACAACTTTGTACAATTTGCTACTGTTTCATAACTATGTTGATATGCAATAACAATTAATGGCATAACTTTGCTTTGATGTCACTGCAGTGCTAATACTTTGTCATATTAGATTTTTGTATTTTTACTTGTTTTTTAGATAATGTTTTTGCTAAGTGTCATAAGGTATTGTTGATACAAAAAGTTAAACTAGTGTGTAAGCACAACCAATAGTTTATTGGTTTGTTTAGCTCAAAATTTTATTGATTTTATCATCCTTGTTTTGTTTTATTATTTATCTAATATAATTTTAGTAGCATTGATGTCGTAGATAATTTAGAAGTAATTTATGAATAATCTAGAAGAAATATGGTAGTAATTTATTTATAAATTAAAATTTTCCATACTTTAATTTTTATTAGAATTTCAATTTTTCAAAAACCAAGGCCCATGAATAGTCAATCTTAACTAAAAAATGTATTTTGAATACCATAGGAAAGTTGCTTTGACTAGAATAGCATCTTTATGGTTCATTTGATGGCTCTTAATCTTGATCTTGAGTATGTGATTTTGTAAAGATAGATGTAGCATTAAATTCTAAGGTGTCCACCTATTTTGGAATCTTCACTTTGATGATTTTTAGGTTTATTGTTTGGTTGTTATGGATAAAATTTGGATGGAAGGTTAAAATGATGTGGGAGTGAAATTTAGACAAATAATCAAATCATTAGATGAAAGTAGTAGATGATTAGAATAATTAGGTAGAATCTTTAATTTGGATGAGATATATTTTGTGGATATTAAATTGGTATGACACCTATTGTATGGATTAGAATGAATGTTGGTTAGATGGATGTAGGTAATTTAGATTGTCAATAGAATAGTAATTTATATTTGACCACAAATATAATTAAATTAATTTATGACCTTTAAGATTTTTTTTTATTTTTAGAATTAATTTATAACTTTTTGAATAAAAATTAAAAATCTTCAAAAATCATATCAACAAATATTTTGTAAAGAAATTTATTAAATATTTAGAATCTTTTGTAAGTATGCCAATCTTCTTTGTAAAGTAAAAAAATAGATTTTTGTAAATGGATAATTTTTTATTATATATTTAATAATTAATAATACTAGTAATGATAATAATAAATTTTAATAGTTTTGCTTCTTGACCAAATAAAAGAATCTAAGATCTATGATAAAATTAGTCTATGAAGAATCTAAAATCTAAAATAAAAAATAAGTACAAGTATGCATTTTGAATTAGATAAAGAAACTTAGAATATAATGTTATGCCTTTTGTATTGAAGATATATAGCTAAAATTAAGAGAAAGATGATAAACAAAAAAATAGATATAAGATTAAAAAAAACACTACAATGGCTATTGTCAGTTTCAAAGATACTAAAGAGTCTTAAACTAAGATTAGAATATAAAAGATGTATTATTAAGATTGAAGATAGTCTTGATCTTGCCTTCATATACTAGCTAACAAGAAAGTTTTGTAGAAGTTTTTTAAGCACTACAAGGCTTGTGGTTCAAACCTTTAGTTGTTGGTTGCTTCTAACATGATTTCTTAAAAGTAAGAAACTTATAGAGTAAGTTTTAATAGCCTCATGGTATATCTTTAAAAATCTAAATATATAATTTTTTTTTAAAAAAAAAAAAAAAAAAAAAAAAAAAACTCAAAATTTCTATAGAAGATATTATTTATCTAACATTTTTTTTCTTACTTCTACTTGCTTGTATTATTTTAAGTAATATAGGTATCTTTTACATTACTCTCTCTTCTAAGAGACAAGTTACATAAAGAGTAATTAAGTTATTTTATAGATTAATAAAATCTTAGATTTATCACAACATTGGTGTTTAATAACAAACTTCAATATATGTTCTACATGAAGGTAGTTAATATGTTTTTATAGTCATTAATGATATTCCATATCAAAGGAAGAAGACCACCTAGTTATTTACTCATTATTGATCTATTTATAACTACTTTTAAATAAATTATTTTATATTCCATTAAATATAATATCTAACTTTAGTAGTATTATTAAGCATCAAAGATATTTTATAAGATTGTAGTACCATTCATGTTGTATCTTACTATCTATTTAAAAAAATACATGATTCTCTTAAAGATCTTCATTTTGACACTTTGAAGGTTTAAGAAATCTAAGTATTTTGATTAGTAATTTTGCTAATAATAAATTTTAAGGTGCCTTACAATTACTAGTTCTCTAAGTTGAAAAGGAGTTTTATAAATTGATTCTTAAACTTAATTTTTCTTATTGTATATATTCTTATAGTCAAATTTATACAATGCATAAATTTATTTTCAAAATTTATACAAGGCATAAAATGTGTTATTTTGGTTAAATCATATATTAATCCAAAATAAAGTTGTAATACGTTGAGATTATAAGATCTATAAGAATTCCATTGGAATAGATGACCAAGACTACTTTAAAATAGATAAAGATTAAAGAAGTCTATAGGATGAAGAACCTAGAAACTTTATCTAAGAACAAGTGTTACAAGACTGAATAAATGATTTGATAAATTTTTACATTTAAAGCCACCACAAATTTCTTAAAATAAGATCCAAAGTTTTTTTACATTCAAAACTCCATGATAGAGAGTCAAGTTGTGTTTGGAGTATATATAATTGTATTTTATTTTTTGAAATATATAAACAGTCTTCATACAAAAGAAGTTTTTTTAAAAAAATATATATAAATTAAAGTATTCTGTATAAAATAAAAACTATCATGTGTAATTAAATTTGTGGAAACTGCGTTGCTCTATGAGCAATTGTCTCATGGCAACTTTGGAGGAAAAATGCCTCACTGATGTTTGTTTCTAATGGTCTTTTGTATTTTTTTTTTTGTTGTTGTTTTTGTCTTAAATATTCTTT